ATATTCTCTTTAATATATAAAGTTTTTTAAGAGTCATATTAATGTTGTTTTATTAAATTCATATTTTTCAAATTAGTCGAGACCAACATGATTATCGAATATGGAAAGATTAAAACCCAAAAAAATAAAAATCAAAAGCACCTTTTTATATAGACTAAGAGCATATACAATAGAAGCAATGGAGAATTTATTTTGATATCACTACAATTAATATTATTATATAAAATTATATTTTTATATATTTAATTTTTAAATAAAATACTTAATAAAATATATTCTCTTTAATATATAAAGTTTTTTAAAAGTCATATTAATATTATTTTATTAAATTCATATTTTTTTATATTCAAATAAAGCAAATTTGAATTAAAAATTTTAAAAAAAATGTTTGATCCAATTCCTTAAAAGTCATCGGATGAAAGGTTTGACTGCAACGTGTGACATCATGTTAAGCACATTAACTTGTTTATTATTTCACTAATTTTAAGAGTTAAAAAAAAATTAAAAGAGAACTTGTTTTTGTTTTGATAGCTCACTTTCAATGGATAAGAGTTCTAAAATAGAAGAGAATATTATTGTATATACTCTAATGTAATAATACAAATTAAAGAGAGAGGAAAAATCTATTTGTTATCTGAATTATATTGAATTATAAAATATATATTAACAATTAGGTAATAAGAGTCTTTGATTGTGTGATGGATCCCTCCATCAATCTATTATAAAATAACATATCAAAGAAAAAATAATATTTTGAAGTCAATTCTGTATTAAATAATAAATTATAAGTTCTAAATGAATGAGCTTCACCTTGAATTTCATTTATTTAAAGTTTAAATTTTACATTTTATTATAAAGTCAAATTACAAAATTTATTTCTAGTATATACTATATTATGGTTGAGTTAGATTAAAAGACTTTCATAAATTATGATCATTGGTTAACTTTTTGGAACATTGAATCTCTAATTGCAATAAAAAAATTAGATAACATGATAATATGATAAAAAAAAAAAGACAAAGAGAGCAACTAGGGCCATAATATGGTGACATGAGAACAAACATACTTCGATAAATTATGGAATCCATAATACCCCTTGAAATTTAGGGAGGGCCTAATTCATCATGGGAATAAAATAAACTTGCTTTGGTAAGTTTTATGGTATATATTACCCCATATATATATTTTGAATAAATTCGTAAATGGTCGAATTCGAACTATTATCCTGAAAATAAGATAATGCACTTATATATATGATCTGAAGCCACTAAATTAGAAGGTTTAAGTGCTACCCCATATATATATATTTATATTTTGCAAGGAAAATGATATAAAAAGCAGAGTAGAATGTAGATAAAAGAGAAGGTAGGCAGGCGCGTGGGATTGGAGGGGGGAAAATATCTAAAATGGTGACAATTTCATTATTTATTATCGTCCTGTCTCTCAATATCTTCCACAAAATAAAGGTAAGGGAAAAATCTTTGAAATAAAAGCAAAAAGAAACCAACAGCTGCCGCGTGTCCTGCTTCTCGATCATTCTCAGCCACAAGACTTTCCGACCTTCTCGAATTTTCCCTGAAAATTAAGAAAAATTCAGAAAATGCATCTGACGTGGCACCCTTTTATCTTTACTCTTCCAATTCCGAAACCAAAACCTTTCCGTCTTTCTCTCTTCCTTCTTCCTTCCTTCCTTCCTTCCATCCTGTAATCCGTATCTTGGCAGTGCTCTCAGCTTCCGTCCTTTGGATTCTTCTCCTTTTTCTGCTACTTTCCGCTGGCTTTTCGGGCCAGCTCAGACTTTTTCCGGTGATTTATTTACTGAGAAACAGTCTTTCCGGTGGCAGCTTCTTTTATTCCGTGAACTTTTTCTCTTTTCCAGACCTCGGAACAGGTGACGTTTCGTTTCTTCTTTATAGATGATATTATGTAGCTGCCTATTCTTTTTTTTTTTTTTTTTTGACTTACTGTGGAAGAAATGAACAGGGGAAGTATATGTGATTTGGATAGAAAAATATGTTGCTTGATTTGAGTTTGTTTAGATACAAAATATAGAGAAATGGAGATTCCTGAGAAAAATTTCTTGGTTTTGCAGGCAAGATTTGAAGCTAAGATTCTGTTGTTTTGTTACAGTTGGATGGCTACTCAGGTACATACATAAGCATCTAAGATTTATTACTTGCTTTTTTTTTTTTTTTTGTTGAAAACATAAAGACTAGATTAGTATAAAGATCATAGTAGCTTACAACCCATAAAGTCATCAGAACACAAGCAAATAACATAACTGAAAGGATTGAAGAAACTAGTGAACTGGACAGCCACCCTAATCACCAACTCGAGGAAGATAGAGGTATGCACATCCTCGTATGAGAAGCTTTTACATTGCTTGTTTCCTCCTTCATTCTCCCAAAATATCCCTGGAAAATATGGAGAGAAAGACAGGAGACTATGGTTGCAGAGGAGAGAAGTCTTCAACCTACCTGAATTCACATCCCCTGAGAATAAAGCAGTTTAATTGCTGATCATGCAAGTAACCAACCCATTAAGGCCAATCACCCATGACTAGCATCTATTCACCAGAAATCACATCCTTCCACCACAACAGAAGCTATTTTTGGTTTTTGTAGATGGATAAAAGGGGACAAGATAAAACAAACAGCAAAAGGGATAGTTGAGATCTAACGTAGAAGGTAAACCGCAAGGCATCCAGCCTTGATTTACCTTTCTTACCTGCTTAATTGTGGAAGTGTGGCTGTAAGGCAGCTACCACCCATCTGAGCAGCTTCATTATGATGGCCAAATTGAAATATATGCCTGAAGTGTTAATTGGATTGTCCACCAGATTCTGGTCATCCAAAACCATTGCTGTACCTTTCTTCTTCCTTAACTTCCATTGCCTCCCTCTTTTTGTTCCCTTCCTTGGATAGATGCCATACTTCTTAGCAACTGTCACTGGACTAGACAAAGTTAGCCTATGATTTTCCCCTACAACAGTCTAGGTTTCAATTTCTTGGCTGCAGGGCTGGTTGGATTGCCTGGAAATTTTCTTTTGAGCCATAAGCTATTGAAAATTCTGTCCAATTTAACTTCAGCTTCTGAAGTAGGACCCTACCTGGTAGGAAGTAAACTTTTTGGACTAATTCTTCTCTACTTATAGCTCCACACGGTAAACATTCCCCTCTTGGTTGCCTGCACACATACTACTAGGGACTGGCACCAAGGCCTTCTCAGCAATTCCTTTCTCTCCCACAAAATCATCCTTCACCTCTCACTTATCAGAGTACCCAGACTCGATAGGAACAATATCCAAGTTGAGCTAGGATGAACACCCCACCTTAGAACTCCCCCCTGTTCAAGTTCACAACTCTCAGCATTGCTAGAAATCACCACATCACCGGTAGGAGGGGAAGGAGTTTTGAACTCCAGCTTATGTTTAGGAGCCATTTTATAAATCAGGTTGGGTATAGACCTATCCTTTGGAGTAGAATCCAGATGAATCCTCTTCTCCACACTAGCTGGGGTCACCTGAGAGCTAGCACAACCCTCTAAAGCCTTGTTGAGTTTAGCTATTGGTGAGCAAGTTAGACTCAGGGAACTCTACCATCAAAGCAAATTTATTTTCTTGAACTGATGTGGTTTATTTAGTCGATTAGACAAGAGGAGATAAGCAAATTAGAGGAAGAACATATCTTTGGAGTTAAGACATTTGGTTGAACAAATTAACATGCTGTGTCATCTAACTAGTCAGTGTTGTCAGTACAAACAATTTATTTAGAAAAGGTTAAATCCCCATTTTGGTCCCCTTACTTTGGTAAAAAGCCCCTTTTTAGTCCTCCTACTTAAAAAAGCCCTTTTTTGGTCTCTAAAGTTTGAAGTCCAACCCCTTTTCAGTCCCTCCGTTAAGTTTTGCGTATGCGGTACGTTAGATTACGAAAATTTCAAAGTGGGGGGACCAAAAAGGGAATAAAAAAGAGCTAAAAATAGCCCTAATTTGGTCCCTCTACTTTAGAAAAAGGCCCCTTTTTTGTCCCTCTCTTTTGAAATTTCTGTCATCTAACTTCAAAACTTAATGGAAGGACTAAAAAGGGGCTGGATTTCAAACTTTAGGGAGTAAAAAGGGGTTTTTTTAAGTAGAGGGAGTAAAAAGGGGTTTTGAACCAAAGTAGAGGGACCAAATTGGGGTTTTAACCTTTAGAAAACCTGTGGTGTACAATTACTTGTTTATAGAAAGTGAAAGTTGAGGGCAGCTAAAACTACCTGAAAAGAAGTTCGTTTTAGTCCTTCATTTTTGTTAGAGAGGACTATCAATAATGCAAGTCATTTGATATACATGTATTAATTTGAATACAGGACCAAATTGAGGGCACAATGTCTGAAAGCACTGCCAAATCTGGAATGTGCAGCTCCAATTGCAGCCCACCATTGGATTCAATGGCCCAGTTGAAGGAGTTATACCCATTTAAGAATGATCAGACACCAAAGGTTCCTTCTTCTTTTTTTTTTTTTTTTTTTCTTCTGTAGTCTCTGAAGCTTATTGTGTTTCAGGAGTTCTTTGAAAACAGTATGTAAATACACGTTATTGTGTAGGTTAGGAAACCCTACACAATTACCAAGCAGAGGGAGAAATGGACAGAGGAAGAGCATCAAAAGTTTCTTGAGGCTTTAAAATTGTATGGTCGTGGCTGGCGTCAGATAGAAGGTAACTCAAGTGCAAGGTGACAAAATCTACGAACTTGTTCCAATGTTGTTTTAAGCAGTTGAAGTCACTCTCATCTTTATGCAGAACATGTAGGCACCAAAACTGCAGTTCAAATTCGAAGCCATGCCCAAAAATTTTTCTCTAAGGTTGCTTAAAGTTTATTACTAACTTTCCTTTTTCCAAAAATCATAATCATTAGGCCTCTTGCATTTACTTATTATCTGGTCTAATTGTAGGCGGCACAAGAATCAAATGGCAGCTCTGAGGGCTCCATCAAACCTATTGAGATACCACCTCCCCGGCCAAAAAGAAAGCCAATGCATCCTTATCCTCGAAAATGTGTTGATTCATGTAAAGGAACATCACTAGCAACTCAACTGGATCCATCCTCCAATGAATTGATGAGAGAACAGGAGAACAAATCACCCACATCTGTTTTATCTGCATTTGCTTCGGATGTGTTGGGATCTGCAGTCTCTGAGCAGCAAAATGCATGCTCTTCTCCAACTTCTTGCACTACAAACATTCAGTCAATGAATATATCTCTTCTTGAAAAGGAAAGTGAGTATGTCACATCAAACTCATCTGCAGAGGAAGAGAAAGTTTCCTTGTCATCTGTTCAGGCATCTGCCCATTCAGCCCTGGAGGACTTTCTGCACATGGTAAATTCTTGGTGTTATATTTAGCCTGGTTTATTCAGCAGGAAAATATTGTTAACCTTCATCTTGTCTAGGATTCTGACTCTTATATTCTTCATGGTTTATAAATTATCCAGAGGTTTAACATGGGTGCCAAGGATTCATTATGTGGTAAAGGAGATGCAACTAGCATTAAGCTGTTTGGGAAAACAGTTATGGTGATGGATCCTGGGAAACCTTCTCCTCTTAGTATGGAGAATTTGAGGTCTAATGCTGGTCAAGAGAACCTTGATGCTAACACTGAGATGCTTTCTCAGACCCTACCATTAAAGCAATGTGACACACACATATCACTTGGATCTTTCATCAGAGATGGGAATTCTGTGCCTTCTGGAGATGCTGTCTACGCCTACACGGAACTAAAAGCAGAGAAAATTGACTTAATAAAACCCACGCCTGATGCCCCCACACAGTGGGCCTTGCATCAAGGCCTGCCCTTTTATTACCATGCATTATTGAAGCCAACCTTAGTTCAAACCCCTATTGATGCCTGTGTTAGTGAGAGACAGAAAGAGAAAGATATTCTGAATGAAAGATCTTGTTCTGGTTCAAATGCTGGGTCAGTTAGTCAAGGAGAAAATAGGGAGAAAAATTCAGATTCTGTCTATTCTCTTTGTCGACAACAACCTTGTACAGAGGAAAAGGACAGCCATCGTAAGTGTCTGAAGGGGTTTGTACCCTACAAAAGATGTTTGGTGGAGAGAGACGTGTCATCATCAGTGGTTGCCTCGGAAGAGCAGGAAAGGCAAAGGGCCCGAGTATGCTCATAGTGCTGGCTTCAATGGCGTAAGACTCGTAAACATGATAAAGCTAGTTTAGGTGGTGGGAGGAGGGCCAATGATGCTTCAGGGTTTTCATTTAGAAAAGATGATAGAACTCTACAAGATTGTAGTCTGTTTTTCATGAGCTCCCATGAAATTGCACATATGTTCTGTTGTACAGATTCTGGGAAACTGAGTAGCTGTGGAGCTGATTGCAGTTTAATGTGGCCACGGATTCAGAGTTTAGATGGAGCAGTATGATAGTAAAAGAGGGTCAGTTGTGTGTTCCCCTTTTAGCTTTTACGCTTTGAGCAGGCAATTTTTCTGTAGTTCTGATGCTCCACTGTGTTATTTAGATTCTGAATGCTACCTTATTTTGGATCAAATTTTATATCTTGATGTTGTGAAGCTGATTTTTTCATTCATATTTTTTAGAACGAACGATATGTTTTACCTTCTTCCAATGTAAGTCTCTTGATAGTTCGTTGTGTTATCTTTTTCTATCCACAGTTAACAGAAAAATGGACGTATTTGAACGTAGAGGACATATCGGCTTAGCTTAATTTAATGATTAGTCTATTAATTATTAGTTTAATTTCATTTTATTTAAAAAGTTAATTTTTAAAAAATAAATTATAAACTTTGTAAAATATTTTTGTAAAATATTTTAGAATAGTCTATTGTATAAAATTTTAATTAGTTTTAATAAAAAATTAACAGAAAAGTTACATCAAAATTAAAATAGAGCAGTCTTAGTAAAGCAAAATTAGAATAGAGTAGTCTTAGTAAAGCAGTGCATTGTATAACTTATTAAAATATGCCAATAATTATGATTTTTGATAAAAAAAATTACTAAAAGAAAAAATTGAAATAGTATATGATAAAGATTACAGTTATTTAGATATTAAAAAAGAACTTATTATCTTTATAAAATTAATTTTATTTCAAAATGAATTTCAAAAAGTAAAAATTTATAAAAAATATAGTTAAAAATTAATTTGATCAAAGTGAAATTGTTATTAAAAAATTAACAAAATAAATTAAACTGGAGTAAAATAAAATATTGTAGTTAGATTTGAAAGTATTTAAAGATAGTAAATAAAATAAAAAATATATAAAAGTTGCTAGATTGTTATTAAATTAAGCCGGGACATATCTGCAATAGGGTTAGAACTTAGAATTGAATATAAAGGGTTATTTATTTTGAATATACTGCAAAAAATACTTGACCGAATGTCATCCATTTCAGTGGGCATCTTGCGACCGAGTATGTCCTTCCAAGCTTCTAGTTGCAAGGTGGCTGGAGTTGTCTGGGTCAAATGAAAGGAACAACTGTGCTTAACTACTGTAGTGATTTTAATCTTTGAGCTTTACCTCATAATCAAAGTTCTGAACATGATCGAAACCAATTTGATTATTAGGGCATGTTCGGTGGAGCTTTTTAAAGTTTTTATTTTTGTAGTACTATTTATGAATGATAAGTTGAAATTTTTATTGAAAAAAATTTAAAAGTTACTTTAAAAATAATAAAAAAAAAAGTTTATAAAAACTAAAAAAAATTTATAAAAAGTAAAAGTTTAAAACTTTTTAAAATTTACTGTTTAAAATATTTTTAAGGTTAAAAAGAAATTAAAAAATATAAATTAAAAAAAATAAACTTATGAAATATAAATAATATTAAAAAGTTGAAACATTTACAAATTTTACTGAGCATGCTCTTAGTCTCGTTGGTTTCAGTCGAGAAAAAGTTAATAAGCATGACTAAACTTCAAGTTGGTTTTCCAGTTTTTTTTTGGGGCTTCAAGCTTGACTATAGTGAGAATCCCAAAATAAGTTCCTAATAGTTTCTTCAACTTCTATTCAACTTCTATCCTTTAAGATTAACAAGAATTTGGCCGAATTAATACCACCTTCATGAGTCAAGAGTTCAAATTTTTATATTTTTAAATAACTAACTTTCTAATGTAAAAAAAAAAAAAAAAAAAAAAATTCTATCCCTTAAGAAATGCCTCAATAATTTGAGCATGAAAGTTGTAGATTAGGTGTCATATCCTTGTGGCAGGAGGCAAGAAGAGGTTTAGGAAATGAGAGGGAGCAGACAAAGAGTTTGATGTACGTAAGAAAAGGTAAAGAAGAAAAGAAAGAAATCCAATTTGGCTTCTTGCCCATAGACATAAAAGGCAACTGACAACAAAGCTTGGCTGGTGGTATGTACCCATTATTAGTAAGGTTAAATGTTAAATTTGGTTCCTCAACTTTAGTGAGTTGTATATTTTTGGTCCCTTAATAATTTTTTTGCATTTTTTTGATTCCTCAACTATACGAAATGCACTCCGTTAGTCATTATGTTAATTTGGACCGTTAACTCTGTTTACGTGGCATTTTTTATATTTTTTTTATGACATGGAGAGCAAAATTTAAAAAAGTGATGACGTGCACAAAAACTTTTGCTATGTCATGCCACTGTGGCCAAAACGCACCAAATCCGTCTAAATGGGTCTCACATCACCACTAAGAATTGCTTTTTTGTCCATTGATTACTGTTTCTGTTCTTTCCATCGACGATGTTCTTTCCATTTTCAAGATTGAAATTATTTAAACAATACTTCAAAAATATGAAGAAAAAAATCCCAAAAATCACTCACAACAACATGCAATTTGGATAATTTCTTGTTAAACAAACATATAACAAAAAAAAAAAAAGTCGATCTGGGTTTGCTGGAACCTAACTTGGGTTCCACCGAACCCAGCTCGATTCACTGTAATCCAGTTGTCCAAAAATCCCTCGCAACAACCTG